TTACATCCTCATTTATTTTTAACAACTGGTACTTATCACATTACCGTGACAACTCCTTTATTTATTCTTGTCGAATATGGTGATATTCTAGTGTCCAAAAATGAACGCTAAAGATAATTTTAAAATTTTTATCAACACATATTATGGATTACTTTTCAAAACCAAACATTTATCAGAACTTAATAACTAAAATAAACTCAGCCTTATTTGGCAAAGGGTTAAGAGAATGATTTAAGGTGGTCTAACACCTTCCTAAACATCCGAACGGGTTAATTTCGTCAAAGGGTTAATAAACCTTTTACAAGGGTTAAATAACTGTAACCGCTCATTTAGAGTGGGTAATAATAAATCTGCCTAAAGATAAGGATTAAGAGTTACTTCCTCTCAAAATAAGAAATAAAACTTTAAGAAAGAATATACTTTAGGATATTTATGACACCTAGTCTTCTTAACCCTTTTTTATTTGCCAAACACAAATAATTTAACCATTCGTCTTGACTACCAAATCTAGACGGAATTATTTATTTTTAACCTCTAATGAATGATTAACTAAGTTAGTTCTTCCCCTTAACACTTTTTTCTTAACCTCTTACCAAATGTCACCTAACATCTTTGTAAAGTGTAAGTCAGAGTTGGATATAATAACATGAGTGTGCATATTTTAATGCAAACTAAATTAGAACATCAAATTCTTTATTATAATACTTGAGAAGAGATAAAGAATCATGTAGGGACTATATTGGTAGTCAAAAGCTAGCTAATCCTAATCTCAAGAGATTATAATATGGCTTTACTCAAAAGATCTTATAATAAAAAAGAAAAAATGCTCACAAAATGCCAATGAAAGAGTGCTGCCAACAAAATCAGCACCTAGAAGAGATTTAGATTTAAGTGCAAAAAGGTGATGCATAATTACAAAGATTAGGTGGTTATCTTGAAAAGATTTTTTGAGCTCTAAAAGGTGATTATCATGGACTAAACTTTATCTCACATGTAATATAATGCACATTCATTATCTTAGAGATATTGTACATACTCGTCTATTGTAGTTATAAATTTAAGAATCCTTAACCATATTATAATGTTTAGAATATAAAATTTTAATTTCGAAGCAACTCCGGAAATTTTACACAAGAGTGGTCACTTTAAGAAAAAGGTATCTGATCAATTCAGATGGAACTATTTTAGATGGTGAAAAATCAAAGTGCTTTATTTTATTTCCTCTTTTTGCCGAGAAACTATATCTTATGTTCCTAGAAGATTAAAAATAAATAAATTAGAAAGACATACAATGCATATGTAAAATATAAATTTGTTCTTACACAAAATAATAAATATAATTGAAGAAGCGAAGAGGCTACTATTTATTTTTCCCTCTCTTAAAAAAGCTACATTTTATGATCTTAGAATATAAAAACTAACATGTTTAATTTGTATACAAAGTAACAAAAGATACTTCAAGGAGTAAAAAAAAAATGCGGGCCGTTTGTACACACCAAAATGCATAAAGTACCTACAAAGAAAGCTCGCATGAGATATGGGATGCAGCCATCACACGCAGTTAGTTGGTCACAGCGTCTGCATAGGATAAAATTAATTAGTTATAATCCTAACCTTAATTTACTAACTAATTAGGCGGCAGCCATTTCTTTTCAACAATTTGTTCATTAACAATAATATATTTGAGTTGAGGTCAACGTCAGCTGTGGTTGGCAGTGAGTAATATATATGGCTTGATTGAATCTTTAATTAGTAGCTTGTATCCTGTAATGCATTAACGTTTTTTTTTTTCGTATCAGACCTAACAAAATAATGTTAAATAAGGTCAATGATTGGAATGAAACTCTCCACTAAGTTTGTTTTGGTCCTCCATGTAATAAAATTTAGATCCTAGAGAATCTATTACAGCTTTAGAACCCCAAATAGAGCCATCCAAAAAAAAGTGTTGAAGCTAATCCAAAATTCAATTAGATTGTCATTAGTAGCTAGTTCTATCTATAGGAGTGTCATTAGTAGCTAGTTCTATCTATAGGAGTTTAATTACTTCTACTAGGAATTGGTTCATATATCTTATCTATAGTATTTAGTTGCTTTATCATTAGAAGTTCATGTCATATTAGAATTCTTGTAACATTAGATTGCTGAAACTATTTAACTATGCCGTGTAGCCATTAATTGATCAAGCGTGAGAATTAAAAAAAAAACGTTGGTTGCTTCTCCCTGCAACCCTTCATATACTTTATTCCAACAGTGATATAAGATCCATGAACTATCTAAATGGGACGACGTCGCCTTCTATTCCTATATTGGATGGGAAGAATTATCATTGGTGGAGAGTGTACATGAAGGTGTTATTTGAATATCAATGTATATTGGGTGTTGTAGAGAACAGAGTTACTGATCTCGCAGATAGCGCAAGTGAAGCCGAGAAGAAAGCCCACGGTGAGATCAAGAAGAAGGATCAAAAGGCATTATTTTACATCCATCAAGGAGTGAATGATTCAATTTTTGAGAAGATCGACGGAGCAACTATGACAAAGCAAGCATGGGATATTTTGGAGACATCGTACCAAAGAGTTGAAAAGGTGAAAAAATTAGGCTTCAAATATTAAGACATCAATTTAAAATTTTACAGATGGAACCCGCTGAAAGTGCTGCAGATTATGTGACTCGAGTACTTACTTTGACAAATCAAATAGAAATAAAGGGGGAGAAGGTTACAAATTTTTAGCAATTGTGGAGAAAATATTGCAATCTCTTACAGCAAAATTTGATCATAATATGGTGGCAATCGAAGAAGTGAAGGATTTGTCCAAGATGATAGTTGATGAGTTGATGGGTACGCTACAAGTTCACAAGCAATGCATGAATGAGAGGTCAACCAAGAAGCCCCTGGAGAAAGCTTTTCAAAGTCAAGCTTTCATAAAAAATAACAAAGGAGCGCAGAATGAAAGAGACAAGCGAGGAGGAAATTTTCATGACAGAGGACGAGGATACCACAACTACAACAACTAAGGACGCAAATACTACAATAATCGAGGACGTGGCGGCTATAACAACAATCAAAGAGATGATGGCAACCAGAGAAGCAATTATCAATTAAATCAAATTATCAAGGACGAGGTCGAGATCGAGGCTGAGGCTTTGGATATGGTAGATGAAATTTTAATAAATCAAATAGTGAATGTTGCATGTGTCACAGATATGGCCACTATGTAAAGGAGTGCAAGTACCAGGATAATTCCTAATTCGGAAAAGAAGTTCAATTTGCACACAAAGAGGTGATGAAGATAGCCACACTTTGTTGATGGTCACGACAGCTGGTAAAGAATCAAACTACAGCACATGGTTTCTTGACACTAGATGCTCTAATCACACGTACGGAAAGAAGAAGTTGTTCATTGATTTGGATGAGTCTATGCGGTCTAAAGTCAAGTTTACCTATAACAACACTATACCAGTGATGAGAAAATGGCGAGTTCTCATCAAGTTGACGAATGGAGACCACAAGTTTATTTCTAATATGTTCTATGTGCCGAATATGAAAAATAATTTACTCGGTAAGAGCGAACTTCTTAAAAAGAGGTACAATCTGCACTTTTCTGGTAATCAACTCTTAATCTTTGATAAAAGAGGTGTATTTATCCTTAAAGCCCATATGACAAATAATCACATGTTTTGAGTTAACATCGAGAATGATGTTAATCATTGCTTCAATGCTATAATGAAATATGAGTCTTGGTTGTGGTATCCTCGTTTTGAACATTTGAACTTTCGCAGTTTGAATTTGGTTGCCCAAAATTTTGGTGAGAGGGTTGTCATTGTAGACCATCTTGAGTAGTTGTGTGAAGGTTGTATTCTTGGAAAGCAACATAGATTACTCTTTGATATTGAAAATACTTGGCATGCAAAGAATCCTTTTGAGCTCATCCATTTAGATGTGTGTGGTCTTATGAACATTATATCCAATGACAATAATCGATATTTCCTTACTTTTATCGATGATATCACAAAAAATATGGGTCTACTTTCTAAAGCAAAAAATCTGAAGTTTTTAATTGTTTCAATAGTTTTAAAGTTCTAGTTGAGAAGGAAAATGGTTACTTTATCAATGTGCTACGAATAGATGGCAGAGGTGAATATACTTCTAATGAATTTAATAAGTATTATGAAGAACAAGGAATCAAGTGTGATGTCACTTTTTCCCACACACCTCAACATAACGGCGTTGCTGAACTAAAAAATAGGACCATATTGACATAGCGAGAAGCATGCTAAAGGCCAAAGGTATGCCAAATTGTTTTTGGGGTGAAGCTATCTCATGCACTATTTGTGGAATAGGTCACGAACAAAGAGTGCTGATAATCTCACTCTGAAGAGACGTGGACTGGTTATAAGCCAAGTGTAAGGCATCTCAATGTGTTTGGCTCCATTGCTTATACTCATGTACCAGCAGAAAGAAGAAAGAAATTTGAAGATAAAGGCGAGAAGATAGTTTTTGTTGGCTACAAGTCCAGAGGCTACAAGCTCTATAACTCCATTACAAAGAAGATGATTGTAAGCAAAGATGTTGTGTTTGCTAAAAAAGAAGCTTGGAATTAGGATCTAGAAGCACAAACAATTCACGGCATACACTCCTTAATATTCTTGAAGACAATGTCTCTGTTGCAACTGAAGAAGCACCACAAGCCAATGCTCCTAATGCTCCATCCCTGCAAGTTTTATTAAAAGTTGAAAGACCAAGAAGAAATCGCCAACCATCAGTTCTCTTGAAGGATTATGAAGTAACTCCAAATGATGATGTTGATACAGATGGAGACATAGTGCACTTTGTAATGTTCACAAATTGTGAGTCAGCTATGTTTGAAGAGGCTATTCAAAATCCTAAGTGGATAAGTGCAATGAAAGAAGAGATAAAGGCGATCGAGAAGAACAACATGTAGGAGCTTACTAATATCTCTCAAGGACATAAAACAATCAATGTGAAGTGGGTTTTCTAGTTAAAGATTATGGCGAACGGCGAGATTGAACGGCATAAAGCAAGATTGTGGCGAAAGCCTATGAGCAAATGCCTGCTTATGATTACCAAGAGGTATTTTCCCTGTTGTTAGAATTAAAACTGTTAGACTAATAATTGTCTTGCCTGCACAGAAGCATCAAAATATTTATCAGATGGATGTGAAGTCAGCTTTTCTAAATGGGTCACTTGAAGAAGAAATTTTTGTGAAGCAACCACCTGGATTTGTGAAGAAAGAGTATGAACATAAAGTATACAAGTTGAAGAAAGGCTTGTACGAGCTAAAGCAGGCGTCGCAACTATGGAATAAAAGAATTGATTCTTTCTTTTAGAAAAGTAAAATTTATAAGTACTGTTTTCGTTGAAAGTTTGCTTCATTGTGGAATTCATTATATCTTCGATCGATTTTAACAAATTTAAAAGAAATAGCCTTTTTATAAGACTTCTCTTACACAACAAAAAGAAAATTACAACTCTCTAGAAAATAACACAGAAATCGTTTATCGACTTCTGCTTTTGTGGGACTTTGCCTGTGTCGGGGGTGCGTTAGCCCGTGGACCACCAAATCATAGATTCTAGTTGAATCGTGAAGGTTTTGGGGATTCTTCCTTCGTTTATCGAAGTAAGAATTTAAAGCGAATATCTTATCGATATAAGATGTTCACTCTTCTAAAGATCAAGCCAAAGCTTAGATCTCTAGGAATCGCCAAAAGCTTCTTGAGGATGTTTGTGAAGAATGAAGACTCTCTCGTTTGCTCTAATTTACCAAAAAGCTCAAGTCTCTCTGCCTTAATTGCTCTCCCTGCCTGGCCCCCTGTCAATGATGGCCCTAGGGGGTATTTATAGCCTCATTGGAAGATAACTAAAGAAAATAACCGATCAGCAACTGCCCCTTTGGGCGCAGCAACCAGGGGTGACGCGGCTGAAGAAGTGACTTTGGCGCGGCACTTCCCCAGCAGAGTCTGGCGCGGTTGTTTGTGGGAAAATTTGCAGTAAAAGAAACGAAGGAAAATTGATTTGTATTCCTTTAATCTCAGTTACATTTGGATTTCCTGATTACAAAAGAGAGGAGAATGATCTGGATTCTCCCCTTTGTTTAAATCTGGGTTCTTCACGGTGGCGATGAGATGCCTCCCTCAAATGTTCGCGTCGAGTTTGCTTCTCGTTGACGATCCGATGTCTTGTTTCACTGGAACGTGGTCTTCTCCTCACGATTTGACGTTGTGGAGAACTCTGAACGAGTTTGAAACTCTATGAAAGAGTTGATTTAACCGAAAGTCGGTTATAAGCCAAGGATGAAGAAGATCTTGTTGCCGATTTCCAAAGCTCCAGAAATGCTCTAAGGATCCTGTTGACGAGCTAAGAAGTTCCAACAGACCGACCAAACGTTGAACTGAATTGATTTTTAGTTATTTCTAGGGGATTAAGGGGTGTAACCACCTCCTTAATTCGCTCCTAAGTGGGGCTAATGGGATGTAACCGCCCCTTAAATCACTCCTGAGTGGAGTTGTGATCCCCTCAGATCGTGGGAAACGGTTTTGGAACCATTCAGCTCTTGTTTGAATGAGTCAAACGCAGGCCCGCGTTCTGGCATGAATTCTGTGTTCAAACGCAGTGTTTGGAAGATTGAACGCAGCATCTGGAAGCTCGGACGCAGCGTTGTGAAGTTGCGTTGTGTAGCGATTTGGAGTTGCGTCTGGCAGCTTGTTGAAAGCTGCGTTTGACAGATTGGGAGCTGCGTTTGGCGGCGGATTGGAGTTGCGTCTGGCAGCGGATTGGGGCTGCGTTCTGCGGCTGATTGTTAAAGCTGCGTTCAGCGGCTGGTTGTTGAAGCTGCGTTCAGCGGCTGATTGGTGAAGCTGCGTTCAGCGGGTGATTGGAGTTGTGTTTGGCAGTGATTGGAGCTGCGTCTGGCAGCGCTTGGAGCTGCGTTGGGCAGCGGTTGGAGCTGCGTTGAGCAGCGGT